AAGTAAAAAAAGGAATACCAAATTTTTTTTATGAAAAAAAAAAATACGTTTCTGGCTACTTTTTCTTTAGAGAAACTTGTGAATGTCAGGCGTGATTCGTGAAGATGATAAAGAGACAAAAGCTATTATTACTATAGCCATGGCTAAATTTAATTCATTCCTCTTATAAATATTATATATATATATATGTATATATCAATTATTATTTCTATAAAATACAAAATAACAGCCAAGGAATTATTTGCAAACAATTTCTCATAAATCTGGAAGATTAAAAAACTGACAGGCAACATTAATGAATTAAACATAAATGAAGATGGAAGATGCAATGAACAAACCTCCATTAAGACTCTCTAACAACGTTTCTTCATTAGTTGAAGGAAATGCAGTTTCCGTATTCTCTGCAGGTTCAGCTTTTTTTCCGCATCCTTCAGCAGCTAACTTGAAAATGCACTCCGCCTGTACAAAAAATTGATTAGCAACAATAATTAAGAAGTTAATATGCGCTTTTGTACCCCTAATTAACGATCATAATCAATTTAACTCTCATATAACAAGATAAAACGAATTTGAACAGACCTTATCTCGAGGAACGTCGAAAACTTTGACGACTCCATTATAAAAAATTGTCATAGGAGCTGTTTCAGTAGCTATCACAGAAGCATGCCTGTACAGATACACGATCTCTATAAGTTTTCCAGTAGTTTTTCATGCGAATAATACCATTTCTGTTAACGAGAATGTCAAGTACCTTGCAAACGGAGAATAGACAGATAACTCTGGAAAGGGAGACGGATCTTTCCTCGGAGTGGACGGAACGGAAAACGAGTAGTTAGAGAAATCATGGAGATTTCCATTATCACGGTTCTGCGGAAGTCCACCAGAAGCAATAAGAGATTTCACAATATCCGGATTGATCTTCGAGATCGCACCTTGAATGCCTACCAGAAGCAATCACAGATTCAGTAATCCATATATTATTTAAAATAAAAATAAAGAGGAAGAAGAAAAAGGAAAAGGAATTAAAACCTCGGAAACTTCGTCGGCGATGAAGGAATTTCTGGAACGGAGACTTGGCAGAGGAATCCTTCTCCATGCGGAAGAAGTCGAGCTCCACTGTAGCCCTCGACATTTTGATTTAGAAAAAGCTTGTGAGTTTCAATTTTGGATG